TCAACGCTATCGAATTCATCGTGAGTAGTGACAAGTTAATAAAGATGGTGAATTTTAAGCTCGGTAATGAAATGTGAAGGTGAATTAATCAACTTGACATGAGCGTGGGACTCAGAATTTTTCTTTGTCCCACGCTCGTGTCAAGTTGATTAATTCACCTTCACAATAAAGTGGTTGTTTCTAAAACCATCCACTTTAGGCAAATAACCTTAAAACTGTGTGTAGTATATACATGTAAAGGATAATGCCACTAATTGCTAATACACACATGTTCTGTGCATCACAGGCCAGTAGTCAATTTAATCAGGATTAAAAAAAACTAACAAAAATACAAACTGCATTGTTCACCGGCTGACACCGCCCATACACACCTGTAAATGCTTCAGCCTAAGTAACAAAAGTTGAAGATCCAAAATGGAAACGGGTATGCCATTTGATTCTTATCAATATGGCCAGGCAGTTGAGCTTGAGTCTACTGTAAAGCAACTCCAACTAGACAGAATACAAACCTACCACCTGTGGATTTCAAATCCTTCACCCTAAACACTTGGCTCCTTGCACTTTTTGGGCGTTCACAGGTATCAAAGATCAACTGTACATGTATCTGATTTTTATTGCTTGATAACTAGTTAATAACAGACAGTACCTTTTGATGGTCTGCAGAGTTACTCTTGTCAACATACAATTCACTTTGTAGTTCATCAGCAACCACCAGACCTTTATAAAACAACAATAAAATACATGTTGTTACCCACACCTTGGGATTTGCGTTACCAATGTGAGACTATGAATCTTATAGATTTTGTAAGTTCTACAGCTGATTCATTTGTGGCTTTCCCACAAGGTGAAGCAAGTCTTCTGTGACTTTTATTAACAATCGATAGGTTTTATTTATATCAAGAGTAGAATTCTCCATACATATTTTTTCCCCTTTCCAAATGGTTTTTCCGGGGGGGGGGGGGGGGGGGAGGGAGGAGGAGGAGTTTGGTACCTCTTAGGGCATTCAGCCTCAAAAGGTCCTCTGCAGGGGCTTTTGTGCTACCTTTTGGGGTACTGAGCTGAAAAAAAAATGACAGGAGATATGGTCTTGTTTTAGAATTGCTGCCTCTTGGGAGTGAAAAAATTTCAAGCCACACCCACACAACAGGATCTTGGTACCTCTTAGGGATTTTCCTACGAGTTTTCCCTAGATCCTGCCACCATTATAGAAGTTTTAAACAGATGCCATAACACTTAAATTTCTTTCAATTGTATTGCTAAATGTCTCCTATTTGTAACGTTTCAGGGAATCATCAGTCAAGTTACAGTGTAAGAAATAGTGTAACAAAATTACCATGATATAGATCTGCTTTTGTTGCAGCTCAATTAAGTTGTGGGTTGGGGATTGGGTATTTACAAACACAATACAATTCCTGACCATGACGTGCTACTTTCTTACATCCTATTTACCCTAATAACACTAGATTTAAATCAAAGGAGCCAGGTCACATCACATAGAGAGAACTGATGACTAATACTCTCAGAACTCTCTTAAAACCCCAAAATAACAAAAAATGTAAGGCAAAATCATGCCATTACTGTACATGCACCCAAAACTGCACCCCTAGGTTTTCAAGCTGGTTCAAGTTCTTTGTAATGTATTGCTATCAGACAAGACACTTTTCTCTCACAGTTCCTCTCTCCTCGCAGGGGTGTAAAAGGGTATACCCACCGATATTATGCTGTTTCAGCCAGTCTAAGGACACAGGCAGGTTTTCTGCTGAAAACCAAACTCGGGAGCGAAACTCTACAGCCATAGGATAACGGACATCAAGAAATTTCCTACATTCTATTATGTGCTTCTTGTTCACATCAGTGGGGTGAAAACCTAGGTGGAACTAAAGAAACATATACAAACTGTTGTTATCAACAAGGCAATCAGTCAAAATCAAATTACAAACATTTTCCATTCAAAAAACAACAGTTTTTTCACTTTCAGAAAATACATTTTATTTTTATAATATTTTTTTTATTTGGTGTCTTCTCTGTATCTTATTTCAAAGCTTTTTTTAGAATCTTACATTCAATGAAATGTATATATTTTTTAGATGTGACTGGTCCTGAATACCAGCCAACAAGGTGAATGTTTCACAACCTGAGGCTTGAAATACAGCCTTATGTACTTGCTAGCATGAGAATAGATAATGATGTTGGACAGAAAAAAAGACAAATTTTGCATAATAGTAACATTTTTCATCTGTTAAAAAAACAAACAAGGTGTTGGGCTTAGCTGATATAATATGTAAAAGATGCATATTAGTGGTTAATTATCAGTTAAGTTTCAAATATAGGAGAAACGTAATACCAAGGAAGGATAATGGACCTCTTGGCTTACTTCATAAACACTGTTAAGGTTCTACCTGGAAAACCACAACTCCCAACTTGTTCTTCTGATAAGCTGGGAGAAGTGCAGAATTATATCTGTCCCAGAGTTTCTGTTTTTGCACTTCTGTCAGTTCCTCCCATGTGATTGATGTTTGTCCATTTAGGATGCTTGCTGGCAGCTCGTCTCTAACAACATGTGGTAGTGCTGATAGAGAGATTGACTAAAATATCAAACAGTTAAATAAGCATCAGTGATATGACACCATATTCACAGAAGCCCCCGTTGGGTTTTCATAGGAAGTTAGAACTCCTTGGTAATATAAGGAATGCGTATGAGCAAGTACAAAAACTCTAAACTATTTTTTACTGAAATAGTTTTGAAATTTGTTTAAACTTTCACATGACCAGAGAATAAGTTCACTTTATGGGTCAGACATAACACAGTAAATTGATATACCAGTTACTGGTATTAATATAATTGGTAATAATTACTGATGTTTATTGAAGTTATCAAAGTACAGTAGACAACTGTTAGAGTCTTCAATCTAAAATGTCCATATCAAATGTTGATATTATGGATAATAACTAATTAAAAAACATCCCTTCATGCCTTATCCCAAAGTGCCTTGTTGAATTTTCACACAGGACAGGAAATTATGCAGAGAGGGTCCGCAAAGAAAATATACTCATGCCATGATCAGAGTTGCAGTACGCAAACTCCACCCATACTCCATAGTGAGTGAGTCTTGGATATCTGTGGGAGAGGAGGAGGGGTGTTTATGACATTTTACCAAAATGTGAAGGAGTATTTTCATCAACATCAAAACTCCACCCGTACCCCCATGGTGAGTCTTGGATATCTGTGGGAGAGGAGAAAGGATGTTTATGGCATTTTAACAAAATCTGATGGAGTATTTTCTTCAAAATTAGCTTTGGAATGTGTTTCCTGGCAAAGCCTCAAATTTTCCAGGGCGATATGTGGTTACATTATCTTTAATTTTATTTTGTTAAAGCGCTATTTGTTAATTTAAAATCTCAATAGAAACGGGGGTGTGTGTGGACATAAATGAAGTAATAGATGGTTCATTACTTCATTTAGTGGACTGTCCATATAAGAATGTCGCGCATTAATCCTGTCCAATTTCGTTTCTAATTAGATTTACTCCAGAATAATTGTTGTTAATTAAGTCTTACTTTTCTTGTAAAGAATCCAAAAGCTTTGAAATGGAACTTGAAACCAGCAGGAACACACTTGAGCCATTTTTCCACAACAGCCGGGCTGGGAATCGCATAGTTGCTCGTGTCGCACTCCACGCAAGGAAAGACCCTCGAATAATGCAGCAAACGATCCTCTGTTGTCTTCACAGAGCCTGGATAGAACCTTCCACACTTGACAATGGATGAATCCGACCATCCACAAGTTCCCTGGAGAACTTTTCCCACGAGATCACCTGCAGAACCACTTTTCCCCGCCATTTTCTTGTGGCTGGTACTTAGTCTCTCCGTTGTGTGTCTTACCTATGGAGACTGAGAATAGGAACATCTCTGTTTTCAATATGGCGGCAGAGTCTGGAGTCTGGAGAATTTCATTCCATTCAATACTGCAGTGAATTTAGCCTTAAGTCGTAAAATCCTTTAGGAGAAATACATGGAGCGCTAATATCTCATTATCTCTTCATGTCGTCTTGGGCTGGATTCACCGACGAAGAGCTTTGTCGCTTAAGACAAAATTCGAGTGAAGACGTCGATGCAGAAGGGAAAATCTCGGGAAGCCGCAAAAAAGCAGCCATAAACATTCCTAAAAGACAGCGACCCCGGGAAAAAATACGAACTAGAGCCCCTTCCACAGAGCTGAAAGAATCGGATAAACAAGAAGGAGATGAAGACCAAGGGCTGAGAGATCGTACTCCTACAGGGCAACGAAATTCACGTGCTAGTACAAACAACGTTGGCCATGGCCGTTCAACTGCACGACTTGATTCAAGAGAGGAAGAGCAGGAAAATTCCTCTCCAGAATGCGAAAGACGAGGAAAAAGCATTAAGAAGACCATGGAAGAAATTACAATGTCTGAAGAAGCTCCGCCAAAAACAAGGCCCATAAAGAAGAAAGATGATGGTGATCGTGAACACGCTTTGCAGTTGGCCGATAGTGAGAAAGAGCCAAAAAGCGATCTACCGGAAATAATCGACGAGAGTGACAAGTAAGAACCTTTGGGGTTAGCATTTGTTAAATTTTTATACCAAAAGATAGATATTTTATTTCTGTTATATACGTTACATTCGCGGTTTTTGTGCATAGAATTAAATTTTGCATTCCACACAGACATAATCTGGTATCCTGGCGACATGTAAACTAAAATCACACATCCGTTTTGAATGAGATACTTTCAGGTTATTTATAGCTTGCGAATTATATAAAAGTACATTTGAATAAAACGCACTTTAATAAAATAAATAAAATACACTCGAACATGGAGATTGATTTATAATGCACAAAAAACGATTTTCTGTATCCCAACAGCAACACGAGAGGTAAAATGGAGTGAATTTTCGAAAGCTTTTTTGAGTTTGTTTCCTGTACCTCAGAAGAAATCATTATTTATCCCATATAAATGCTTTAAGTATTTCCAGGTGTAAACTCTTTACCTGGTCAATTTAATTGATAAAAGTGTGGAAACATACCAACAGGAAACATAATTCTCCTAAAGTTGCATGGAAAATGTATGAAAAACAACTCAATGATTTTGATACTGATAGGTATGTTTCCTAAACATATGAATAGTACCCTCATAGGAGCTTGTGTGATTATTTTATAGAATACAAGCAATAGAATTGTCAGCATTGGAGAAGATGCAAGAAAAACAAAAGCAGATAGAACAAGAAAATAAAAGGAAGAAAGCAGCTCTTCAAGAAACCATAAAGCAAAGGTATTAGTATTGCTTTAGATAAGGTGATGCATGGGAAGGATTAGAAGAATGTGTGCAAAAATGTAAAGCAGAGATGGGTGTGTGCAATATTTTATTTATCAATTTATTTATAATCCTGGATTTGATTCAACATACAATTCAACTTTTCAAGGTCTTCACGCACTTATAATCTACCGGTAGATTAGGTTATTACTGCTTGATTTCCAAATGTTGAAAGTACTTGGTATTGTGTGACAGTCATGTGTGCTACAAGTAGGAACTTCACTGGCTGAAATCTTACGTAACATCCTGTACATACAACCACCTCCTCCCTGATTTTACCCACTGTTACCATGGAGATTTGGGAACCCTTTTATTAGGCAATTCCATACTTTTACACCTGAAATGCCACAAACGCTAGCTATATCTACTGCTCTAGGATCTTGTACTAATTACTCACAACTTTCCCAACTTTAGATACAAGAGAACCCAGGCAGAAGCACACACTCTTTCTCTAGTTCAANGGGGGGGGGGGGGGAAGGGAGGAGGAGGAGTTTGGTACCTCTTAGGGCATTCAGCCTCAAAAGGTCCTCTGCAGGGGCTTTTGTGCTACCTTTTGGGGTACTGAGCTGAAAAAAAAATGACAGGAGATATGGTCTTGTTTTAGAATTGCTGCCTCTTGGGAGTGAAAAAATTTCAAGCCACACCCACACAACAGGATCTTGGTACCTCTTAGGGATTTTCCTACGAGTTTTCCCTAGATCCTGCCACCATTATAGAAGTTTTAAACAGATGCCATAACACTTAAATTTCTTTCAATTGTATTGCTAAATGTCTCCTATTTGTAACGTTTCAGGGAATCATCAGTCAAGTTACAGTGTAAGAAATAGTGTAACAAAATTACCATGATATAGATCTGCTTTTGTTGCAGCTCAATTAAGTTGTGGGTTGGGGATTGGGTATTTACAAACACAATACAATTCCTGACCATGACGTGCTACTTTCTTACATCCTATTTACCCTAATAACACTAGATTTAAATCAAAGGAGCCAGGTCACATCACATAGAGAGAACTGATGACTAATACTCTCAGAACTCTCTTAAAACCCCAAAATAACAAAAAATGTAAGGCAAAATCATGCCATTACTGTACATGCACCCAAAACTGCACCCCTAGGTTTTCAAGCTGGTTCAAGTTCTTTGTAATGTATTGCTATCAGACAAGACACTTTTCTCTCACAGTTCCTCTCTCCTCGCAGGGGTGTAAAAGGGTATACCCACCGATATTATGCTGTTTCAGCCAGTCTAAGGACACAGGCAGGTTTTCTGCTGAAAACCAAACTCGGGAGCGAAACTCTACAGCCATAGGATAACGGACATCAAGAAATTTCCTACATTCTATTATGTGCTTCTTGTTCACATCAGTGGGGTGAAAACCTAGGTGGAACTAAAGAAACATATACAAACTGTTGTTATCAACAAGGCAATCAGTCAAAATCAAATTACAAACATTTTCCATTCAAAAAACAACAGTTTTTTCACTTTCAGAAAATACATTTTATTTTTATAATATTTTTTTTATTTGGTGTCTTCTCTGTATCTTATTTCAAAGCTTTTTTTAGAATCTTACATTCAATGAAATGTATATATTTTTTAGATGTGACTGGTCCTGAATACCAGCCAACAAGGTGAATGTTTCACAACCTGAGGCTTGAAATACAGCCTTATGTACTTGCTAGCATGAGAATAGATAATGATGTTGGACAGAAAAAAAGACAAATTTTGCATAATAGTAACATTTTTCATCTGTTAAAAAAACAAACAAGGTGTTGGGCTTAGCTGATATAATATGTAAAAGATGCATATTAGTGGTTAATTATCAGTTAAGTTTCAAATATAGGAGAAACGTAATACCAAGGAAGGATAATGGACCTCTTGGCTTACTTCATAAACACTGTTAAGGTTCTACCTGGAAAACCACAACTCCCAACTTGTTCTTCTGATAAGCTGGGAGAAGTGCAGAATTATATCTGTCCCAGAGTTTCTGTTTTTGCACTTCTGTCAGTTCCTCCCATGTGATTGATGTTTGTCCATTTAGGATGCTTGCTGGCAGCTCGTCTCTAACAACATGTGGTAGTGCTGATAGAGAGATTGACTAAAATATCAAACAGTTAAATAAGCATCAGTGATATGACACCATATTCACAGAAGCCCCCGTTGGGTTTTCATAGGAAGTTAGAACTCCTTGGTAATATAAGGAATGCGTATGAGCAAGTACAAAAACTCTAAACTATTTTTTACTGAAATAGTTTTGAAATTTGTTTAAACTTTCACATGACCAGAGAATAAGTTCACTTTATGGGTCAGACATAACACAGTAAATTGATATACCAGTTACTGGTATTAATATAATTGGTAATAATTACTGATGTTTATTGAAGTTATCAAAGTACAGTAGACAACTGTTAGAGTCTTCAATCTAAAATGTCCATATCAAATGTTGATATTATGGATAATAACTAATTAAAAAACATCCCTTCATGCCTTATCCCAAAGTGCCTTGTTGAATTTTCACACAGGACAGGAAATTATGCAGAGAGGGTCCGCAAAGAAAATATACTCATGCCATGATCAGAGTTGCAGTACGCAAACTCCACCCATACTCCATAGTGAGTGAGTCTTGGATATCTGTGGGAGAGGAGGAGGGGTGTTTATGACATTTTACCAAAATGTGAAGGAGTATTTTCATCAACATCAAAACTCCACCCGTACCCCCATGGTGAGTCTTGGATATCTGTGGGAGAGGAGAAAGGATGTTTATGGCATTTTAACAAAATCTGATGGAGTATTTTCTTCAAAATTAGCTTTGGAATGTGTTTCCTGGCAAAGCCTCAAATTTTCCAGGGCGATATGTGGTTACATTATCTTTAATTTTATTTTGTTAAAGCGCTATTTGTTAATTTAAAATCTCAATAGAAACGGGGGTGTGTGTGGACATAAATGAAGTAATAGATGGTTCATTACTTCATTTAGTGGACTGTCCATATAAGAATGTCGCGCATTAATCCTGTCCAATTTCGTTTCTAATTAGATTTACTCCAGAATAATTGTTGTTAATTAAGTCTTACTTTTCTTGTAAAGAATCCAAAAGCTTTGAAATGGAACTTGAAACCAGCAGGAACACACTTGAGCCATTTTTCCACAACAGCCGGGCTGGGAATCGCATAGTTGCTCGTGTCGCACTCCACGCAAGGAAAGACCCTCGAATAATGCAGCAAACGATCCTCTGTTGTCTTCACAGAGCCTGGATAGAACCTTCCACACTTGACAATGGATGAATCCGACCATCCACAAGTTCCCTGGAGAACTTTTCCCACGAGATCACCTGCAGAACCACTTTTCCCCGCCATTTTCTTGTGGCTGGTACTTAGTCTCTCCGTTGTGTGTCTTACCTATGGAGACTGAGAATAGGAACATCTCTGTTTTCAATATGGCGGCAGAGTCTGGAGTCTGGAGAATTTCATTCCATTCAATACTGCAGTGAATTTAGCCTTAAGTCGTAAAATCCTTTAGGAGAAATACATGGAGCGCTAATATCTCATTATCTCTTCATGTCGTCTTGGGCTGGATTCACCGACGAAGAGCTTTGTCGCTTAAGACAAAATTCGAGTGAAGACGTCGATGCAGAAGGGAAAATCTCGGGAAGCCGCAAAAAAGCAGCCATAAACATTCCTAAAAGACAGCGACCCCGGGAAAAAATACGAACTAGAGCCCCTTCCACAGAGCTGAAAGAATCGGATAAACAAGAAGGAGATGAAGACCAAGGGCTGAGAGATCGTACTCCTACAGGGCAACGAAATTCACGTGCTAGTACAAACAACGTTGGCCATGGCCGTTCAACTGCACGACTTGATTCAAGAGAGGAAGAGCAGGAAAATTCCTCTCCAGAATGCGAAAGACGAGGAAAAAGCATTAAGAAGACCATGGAAGAAATTACAATGTCTGAAGAAGCTCCGCCAAAAACAAGGCCCATAAAGAAGAAAGATGATGGTGATCGTGAACACGCTTTGCAGTTGGCCGATAGTGAGAAAGAGCCAAAAAGCGATCTACCGGAAATAATCGACGAGAGTGACAAGTAAGAACCTTTGGGGTTAGCATTTGTTAAATTTTTATACCAAAAGATAGATATTTTATTTCTGTTATATACGTTACATTCGCGGTTTTTGTGCATAGAATTAAATTTTGCATTCCACACAGACATAATCTGGTATCCTGGCGACATGTAAACTAAAATCACACATCCGTTTTGAATGAGATACTTTCAGGTTATTTATAGCTTGCGAATTATATAAAAGTACATTTGAATAAAACGCACTTTAATAAAATAAATAAAATACACTCGAACATGGAGATTGATTTATAATGCACAAAAAACGATTTTCTGTATCCCAACAGCAACACGAGAGGTAAAATGGAGTGAATTTTCGAAAGCTTTTTTGAGTTTGTTTCCTGTACCTCAGAAGAAATCATTATTTATCCCATATAAATGCTTTAAGTATTTCCAGGTGTAAACTCTTTACCTGGTCAATTTAATTGATAAAAGTGTGGAAACATACCAACAGGAAACATAATTCTCCTAAAGTTGCATGGAAAATGTATGAAAAACAACTCAATGATTTTGATACTGATAGGTATGTTTCCTAAACATATGAATAGTACCCTCATAGGAGCTTGTGTGATTATTTTATAGAATACAAGCAATAGAATTGTCAGCATTGGAGAAGATGCAAGAAAAACAAAAGCAGATAGAACAAGAAAATAAAAGGAAGAAAGCAGCTCTTCAAGAAACCATAAAGCAAAGGTATTAGTATTGCTTTAGATAAGGTGATGCATGGGAAGGATTAGAAGAATGTGTGCAAAAATGTAAAGCAGAGATGGGTGTGTGCAATATTTTATTTATCAATTTATTTATAATCCTGGATTTGATTCAACATACAATTCAACTTTTCAAGGTCTTCACGCACTTATAATCTACCGGTAGATTAGGTTATTACTGCTTGATTTCCAAATGTTGAAAGTACTTGGTATTGTGTGACAGTCATGTGTGCTACAAGTAGGAACTTCACTGGCTGAAATCTTACGTAACATCCTGTACATACAACCACCTCCTCCCTGATTTTACCCACTGTTACCATGGAGATTTGGGAACCCTTTTATTAGGCAATTCCATACTTTTACACCTGAAATGCCACAAACGCTAGCTATATCTACTGCTCTAGGATCTTGTACTAATTACTCACAACTTTCCCAACTTTAGATACAAGAGAACCCAGGCAGAAGCACACACTCTTTCTCTAGTTCAAAAAGAGTTGAGCCACCTGGACAGCCTGCTCTCTGCTGACGTGGCAATTCTAAGAGACAAGATAGAAGAGAGCAGCAGGGAATACCTCAATGCACAGTAAGTATAATATATGTAAGGAGAATCTGGAATAAGTGGTTCATTAAGTGCTGGCCAGGTTCAATATGGTGTGTTCTTTGGCAAAATACTTCCAATGTATCCCTCTCGACCCAGGAGTATACATGTGTACTGGCAAACTGTCCAGGGAACCAGCGATTGACAAGCATGCAATCCAGGGGAAAGTTAATTCATGGCACAGAAACCTGGATAAGCTCTGTACATCTTACCTTTTAAATGTAGGTTCTCAATGCTGCCATAATTTTGTTTGCAGAAAAAGGTACGAAAGAGCTGAAAAAGAATTTGTTGAGGCAAAGATGGATTTACACAAGAAAACAGAAAAGAAGGATCTGCTCACAGAACACCTTTATACGATAATCAGAGAAAACGAACTGAGAAAGGCAAAGAAACTAGAAGAACTTATGGCAAAGCTTAATGTCGCTACTGATGAAACATTGTCTGAAGACAAGACTGCTGTCCTTGAGGCCGGCAGTGATGAATCCGGCATAGTACAAAATTCAGATATTTCTGTACCACAGGAAGAGAAAGTGAATTGTGAGTTAAAACCAGAATCAAACAATTCTCCAGTTAATACTACGGGAGAAACAGCCGCTATTGATGAATCCAAAGTTGATGTGAAAGCAGAGACTATGCCGGTGTCAGCGGAGCAGGAAGTCGGTGTCACAGCTTGACATAGGCATGGCTCTTGCTATCATCCTCTTGATATTGGGCAAAAAAGGGGCGTTGGATCTAATTTTTCCTGGAGTTCAGTTCTGTAGACCACCTCAGAAGTTTTTTTCAGTTCTCGAAAAAGCGCTCTTGACTTGGGTAAGGTTTACCGTATCTATATGAAATGTCAACATTTCAGATCCAGGTAACAGGTAGCTGCAGTTAATGGTGTATCATCTTGAAAATCTACTAAGTTTGATATCTTCACCAAGTAGTTCTTAGGGTCGTTGACTTTCTTTTTTCATCTTCTTTTTGTAGTGCACTGGATATACGGGACATACTTTTATTGTTTGTTTTTGTTTTATCAAGTACCTTTTTCTGTTCAAGCAGAATAATTATCGAGAATTTGAAACAACTGTGAGTTGATCCCGTGACGTCTTCGAATTCACGCGTAATAAAGGAGGAAGAAACGAAAGGATGAAAATTATTATTTATTATCGCTCGTAATATGTTACGGCGCAAAAACAGAAACATCTTTGGACGATAATTCTGTCCTATTTCCTAACCCTGACTATACAGTAGTTTTTGTGTCTTAGAAATACCGTATTGAATTCTTCAACTGAACACTTTTCAGCTAAAAGAAAGCGGCTCGTTGGGACGTACTTTTTTACCATCCCCTTATAGTACGATTTTTGACAAGTTCACATGGAAAAATAATACAGTTGCATAGTATAATAGTGTAGTTTTTGACAAGTTTACTATTTACAAAGTAACAAACGAGAAGCCTCGATTTTTAACGTGATGTTGGGGTTGCTGTATGAACCCTCCATTGTTACAGGCAGGGTCTAAGCCAGTTACGGTTTTGTACTTATTTTTGCAGATAGAAAACAAAGATAGAATAACATATACATTCAAATTTCAAGGCTTCCTTTAATTTGAAGGTAGTGTTCTACATCGAAAATAAATGGTGTGAGTAATAGTTTGTGATACTGAAGAGAGGGTCAGGCAAAAGTCACTCTCACTGATTTTTGGTTGACTTCTAGAGGAACGCATTACGGAGGCAATAACCTGTGGCAAGGAAAAGCCAACGCCCGTCTTACCTGGTGACCGATATGTGTCCAGTTTCAATTTTCAATTCGTGGAGTTCGCATTCCTTTTACTTGGAATTCAGTTAGTTTAGTGGTTTAACTACATTAAATTCAGAAGCCAAAAGAAACTACAAATGTGGTATTTTAACGATAAACGACCATGGAGTTTATTTATTGCTTGGCCCGGTGGATTCGACGTTTCTTCGCTCATTGACTCCGGCCTGCAATTTATTTGAACCTAGCTTCTCCACACTACGTCGGAGAAATTTGAAAACGCAGCTTTATTTCTACGCTTAGGCCTACCGTCTGCACTAATCCGTCACGAAAACGGAGCTTTTCGAAAACGTTCTTCAAACTGGAGAAAAGGCAAGCATTGCGATTTAGCGTGGAAGGAAAACGTTTTGAAGTTTACCGAACCGGAGCTTTTGGAAAACGACGTCGCGAAAATCTTGTGATTTCCCTGCCCGGGTTTTTCTTAAAAGACCGCTGACTGATACGTTTTCAAATTTCTCTGGCGTAGTGTGGCGTACCGTAGTGAAGGTTTTTGTTCATTATCTTGGCTCTCTTGCGTTCTGAGACAATCAGGCCCAAGTTTGCGGGTTTCATGTGAAGCACTGCGATATTTTTCCGAACACAAATATTTGCAAGCTCTTAGTCATGGGTGACAAACTCATAAACTCTAACTTAATATGAGAAGCAAAAAAAACACGAGTTAAGAGTTTGGCAAAGTCCTAAAGTACTCCATTTATACATAGTCGAAATCGTCACGAGTTCGTGACCATTCTCCTTTTCGTTTGAAATTAGGCAAGCGAATTGCCGAAGTTCCATGTTGCCGGATAAGGGCTAAACATTCCACGTTGCCGACTGGCTACCGGACAAAGATCATTTGCATATCGCGGAGCAAAAATCTGGAATGAGCTGAGTGATGATTTGAAAAGTTACCTTCTGTGAAAGCTTTTAAGGGACACTTGATCAAACATATTTTAAATGTTAATAATGTAAATTCTTAATATTCAATTTTAAACTTTGTAAATTTT